TCAACAGAAAGAATTTACTACTGATTTTTCAAGAGTTTTACTCTATCTCACTTTCTATCTACTTTGTCTATAGAATTCTAACCCTTTCTCTCTCGAGCTCACTTTTCTTCACTACCAATGCTGATATTCATAGACACAAAAGGGGCATCAAATCAGTTATTAACTACCTAACTACTCAAATGAATAGGCTCCTAATGTTAAAGATTCTAACTGTAAATGACAGTTGAGGAAACCAGTAACAAAAGGCTTCTCTTGCAACAGAATTTATTCAATGGCTCAGGTATCTGAAATCTAAATCCAAGGAATCAGCTTCTTACAATCTCCACCTTGATTCCTTGAGGGAAATTTACAGACTAGGCCCTGCTGGATGATGATCAGGCAGCCTTCAATTGGTTACTGGTATATCCTCAGTGATCCTTTCAGCTATTGGATTGCAGTTCCAACCTCAAGTTCACTTCCTTGCAAGATATAGATGTCTTGTTGTAGGACTCCCTTCATGATCACCACAGAATTTTCCATCACATATAACACTCTACCTTGAGCTTTGTACACACACCCGTATTTGTCCAGTGCTCCAAGTGTGATTAGATGTTTTTTCCAAACATGGTACATGCCTCACTCCACCTAGGACTTTTGATGAACCATCCCGCATTTTCATCTTGATAGAACCAACACCAATCACTTCACAAGTGTTGTCATTTCCCATCAGCACTTTGCTTTCATAATCCGATTTGTAATTAATGAAAAGATCTCCTCTTGGTGTCATATGAAATGGACAACCTGAGTCCATTATCCAGACATTGTTGAGGCTTGCATTTGTTATAGCAAGTACTTCAGCAACTTCCCAGTCTCCAAACGCATTAGTACAATCTCCATCTTGCGTGTTTTGGTTTCCTTGCTTCAGTTCTTCCTGAAGTGTCCTTCTTGATGACAGATCCAGCACAACTTATTTCATCTCCCGCCTCGCAACTCAGCACTTCTCCAGTCATATTAGCAAGATTTCCATTCAATTTCAGGTCCAATTCCTTTTAGTAGGATGTTGCAGCAACTTCTTTTAGGGTCAATGATTCTTTGCTATACTTGATGGTATCTCTAAGATGATCATAGGATTGAGGTAATGAGTTTAGCAAGAAAATGGTTTGATCTTCTCCATCAATCTTGATTTCAAGATTTTCCAAATCAGAAACTAGCTTTGTGAACTCATCAATATTGTCATTAATTGACTTGGATTCATCCATCTTGAAACTGTAGAACTTTTGCTTCAAGTAGATTCGATTTGGTAATGATTTAGTCAGGTAAAGTTCATCCAGTTTGCTCCACATTTCAAAGGCCGTTTCTTCCTTGATTACCTTCCTTAAAACTGTGTCACTGAGGTTAAGTATGATAGTCTTTCTTGCCTTCTTCAGGATGTCAGCCGGTTTGATGCATCAGTGTCAGATTCTTCTTTCAAGGCTTCATCCAATCCAAGGTTACCAAGGTGTGCCATCATTTTTTCCCTCCATAGATTGAAATCATTCTTGCCATCAAACTTTTCCACTTCAAACTTGGATGTAGACATGGTTTGATTAAGATTCTAACCAGGAATCTTCCTTCACAAATGGTGTGTGCAGCCAGTTATCAAGAAGAAGAAAAAATAAGGCAGAATTTCAGACTTGTTTTGTTGCTTCTTTTTCAGGTTGTCAAGGCTCGCCTCTGATACCAATTGTAAGGTGTTATGACTACCCTTAGCTCTGAAATTAATACAGAGTTTATTGGAATCACATATTACACCAGCAGAATTGGAAATGAAGAAGAAACATATATGGAACAAGAATAATGACTTCCACGGCCTTTATTATCCACACAAGACTTTACACAGTAAGAGATCAACAGAAAGAATTTGCTACAGATTTTTCAAGAGTTTCACTCTATCTCACTTTCTATCTACTTTGTCTACAGAATTCTAACCTTTCTCTCTCGAGCTCACTCTTCTTCACTACCTAATGCTGCTATTTATAGACACAAAAGGGGCATCAAATCAGTTATTAACTACCTAACTACTCAAATGAATAGGCTCCTACTGTTAAAGATTCTAATTGTAAATGACAGTTGAAGAAACCAGTAACAAAAGGCTCCTCTTGCAACAGAATTTATCCAATGACTGAGGTATCTAAAATTCGAATCCAAGGAAATAGCTTCTTACATAGAAGATGTTCGGTTCATGTCACAATACAGACGAGATCAATTTACCCAGTCATTGTAATTATGACTTGGTGGGTGTGAGTGTGACAGGCTTAATTTTAGATTTTAGAATAAAATATTTATAATTAGTATTTATTTTTTAGAATGGTATTACATATTTTATTTATGTAATTAACTGTTTAAGTTGGAATTGGTCAGGCGGTTTCTGGATTCATAAATTTCCTATGAATTAGTGAGATTAACTCGCATTGTGTAACCATTCAAAGAGTATAAAATAACTGAAATGGAGAGAAGAAATTAATTAACATTTTATGCTTTTAAAGATTGAGCGGACCTTTTAATTCACACAAATTTATTTTCTACAATAGAAAATATGCCCCTTATCTGCTTTTTGATAAATTCATATCAGACAAAAAGAATTGTTTTTTTATGAATAGGAAATACGTACCTTCCAATTTTACTCATAACACAATGAATTTTCAGTGACAGACTGAGGACAAATTGAGAAATTCATATTTTAAACGGGTGGATGGTTGATATTTGTTCACCCGTCAGTTGCTTTTTCAAATGTCAATTAATAATTTTACTGTGCTAAAAAATATAAGTAATGTTATCCATCTCTAGTGGGATTACAAACATAATCTAGATAACCCAATCTAGATAACTCTAAATGATAGGTTAAATGAAATGTGAAATTAAATGATTTATTTAATTTCACTTATCATTTAATATCACATTAAAGTCACCTAAATTATGTTTGTAACCCCAGTGGAGATGAATAACATTACTCAAAAAATATACTGCGTAAAAAGAACAATTCCATTTGTACAGAAATGGATGACAAAGGAGTTTGACAATCTCTCACATGCGTATGGGCTCTGCGTGATTAAAAAATTCCAAAAAAAGTGGACCCCTCATTGTGAGTGTTCGGTCATCCATTTCTGTCAACCATTTTCTGTACAAAAAGGCAATAACATGGTTGGCGTAAGAAACCCCTTTTCAAGGGCGTCAAATTGGGATTGAATTTTTCGATATTCAAAACCTTGAAATTTATACCATAAGATGAGATCTTGAAAATAATTGTTATCACAGTGAGTAATTTCTCTCTCCAGTTCTGTTCTATGAAATGAATTTTAGCCCTTGTTTGGTCCGAATTAAAATTCGATTTTAATTCAAGTCAAAGTCAAACAATCAATATTAACCACATTTTATGGGTCCACAAATTTTCAACCACATATTTCAAAAACTTCTATCACAATTTATTAAAAATCTAATTTTAATCCCCACCAAACACCCTCTTAATTTTGGCAATTCATTTTGAAATGTCATGGTAAAAAATGTTGATTTGGAAACTAATTTGTTTTTAGAAAATGAATCTACCTTAGGTGGTGTTTGAAAATTAATTTTTAAAATATAAAAGTCATATTGAATCAATTTCCTCTAAAAAAATCTTCATACCAAAGCACACTTTTAAAAAATTAATCAAACGGAACCCAAAAGTAGCTTTTAAATCTTAAAAAGACTTCAAAAAGCCCTTCCAAACGGCCCAGAATTTATTGAAATAATGTATCAAAAAATAAATTTGAAAAAAAAAAATGAATTTTAAAGAATATCATGGCCTTGTCTTAACCCCATTTTTCGACAAATAAGCATTTTTGAATAGTAATTGATTGAGAATGTGTGGTGAAAAATAATGAAATTTTTTAAATTTACGTATATTATTTATTATTCTATTGAAGAATGTTTGATTGAAAAAAATAATAGGAATCAAACAAGGACTATGTATCTTCGTTGAGTTGTATTTAAAATGCAATTGAAAATTGTATATGATAATTTTGTAGCAAACACAAGGCTTTCTCCCCTCCAAAGGGACTTGCGGCTTGTTTCAATTTGCTGCGGCAGTAGTGTTAAAAAAAAGAGACAAGAAATAAGCACTTATTTCCCTTTTTTAAGAAAAACCAAATGGTATCAAGACCATCTACATCACTACATAACTTTCCAACGGTCACTGAAATGGCCACATTTTAAGTTAATGAATAATTAAGCCGATTTGAGAGCCTCTAGGCTTCTGGATATGGCTAGTTTATAAAAAATCAACAGCCAATTTTATAAAAATTAAACGCAAACATATTCACCTCTGTGCGCAATATTTGTTGCCAATTTCACCTACGAAAAACCAATTCAAAATGGATGTTTGTTAGGGTTCTTCTGAACGTGATTTTGGGTTTTCCTATTCGCAGCCGAAATTAGGATGTGAAAAATAAAATAGATTTGAGGTTAGGGCTACGGTTTCTTTCCTTTTCTGCGTATAGGTGTTGTTTTGAATCTTTTGATACGAGCTAACAAAACACTTTCTAATTTAACTGTAGGCAAGGGTTGTTTGGATGATTTGGCATCCACTTAAAAAATGTGGACAATTTTAACTAACACTACATTTCCGCCGTCCACATAAACACAACAAACGAAATCCATCCGATAGCCATTTTAGTGCAACGAGGCCAAGTTTAGGCCATTGGAAAGCTTAGTGTTCAGTAACACAATGTCTAAACTACAGCGTTCAATGAAACATTTAACTCATTTACATGGCAAGTAAAATAAAAAAGCAGGCAGCAGCAAAAGAACAATAACGGCAGAATGACAATAAGAAGAAGAGAGGGACACTGTCTACGTCAGTTTTGGAAAGTATTTGCCCCTTCTTAGTACACTAAGTCAAAATGGTCAATCAAAGTAGCAAACAAGTAGTTCAAACATTAACATGTGCCAGAAAACATGATTAAGAAATGCTTGAGGAAAGCAGTTGTACTTCTGGATTAATTTCTTTAGAGAGAAGACTTGTCAAGACCGTCAAAGTAACGATGTTCCATAGCTTTCTTCGCTGAAATCCGTTTTGATGGTTCATATTGCAACATTTCCTGGAAAAATTGAAAACTTGGGGAGGTTAATCAGTGCATTTGTCTCTTAAGCAAAGTGACCAAGTTGTATGCAAAACTTACAGATAACAGATTAAGCCCATCTTCATCCAGACCAGGAACCGCCGATGATAGTGGCCGAGGGCTCCATTGAGGGTATTCGTGCCAGTTTACTAACTTGCTCACTCCAGGCCAAACTTCTTCATTTGGGGTCCCCAACAATCTGAAAATGTGGAGCAGCTGTTGCAGCTCAGAATCTCCCGGGAAGAGAGCTTGCGTCGTAACTAGTTCAGCTGAAATTAAAATTCAAAACTGTATAATTAGCATACTTGAATAACTCTGAGATTAATGGCACAAAGAAATATAGATACTAAGAACGGAGAGCGATAAGAAACTCACCAAATATACAGCCGACAGACCACATGTCGACTGCAGTCGAGTAATGTGTAGCTCCCAGAAGAACCTCTGGGGCTCGGTACCAAAGCGTCAATATCTGGTAAGACAAGATACATTGTTAACTGTTTGCTCCACTGCTTGATAATGGCTGATGATTTAATAGCAGAGGATGAAATAAGAATTTTGTAGTGTACCTCATGAGTATACTTTTTGATGGGCACAGTAAATGCTCTGGCTAGTCCAAGATCTGCTATTTTAAGCATCATTGTCTTACGATCCATCAGAAGATTGTGGGGCTTAAGATCCCTGAATTATTACAAAATCAAGAAATGGATTTAGCTACGAGATGGAGGACATACAGAAGAGAAGAAAAACACGAGATTCACCTGTGCAACACTCCATGACCATGGCAAAACGCAACGCCCTTGCAAAGCTGATACATCAAGCTCTGCATTGTGAAAGGTAAAAATTTAAGATGCAGAATAGATAAATTTTCAAATTTAACCAACAAATTAAGCCATCTTTACCTTGACAGCTGTAGTTGGAGTGCTACCGCCCACATGACGGAAGCTGCGAATGTATTTCTTGACGTCGGTGTCCATGTACTCGAACACCAAATAGAGAACTGTCTTGCCTTCTTTGTTCTGCCCTTGTTTCACATCCAACAATCTGTAGAATGTATTTGAAAGAGAAATTTATGACAGATCAATTCAAGAAAAGATCTATAAATTCAAAAGGGCTACTGATATCATGATAAAAACAATCCGACGAGAAGCCACACTGAACGCCTAAAAACTCTAAGCATAGTTCGTTAATGAAACCTTAAACCAAAACTAAACTTAATTAATCATAGAAACCGAACCAATCAGCAGAATCAAGAAATCCTAATCCAAAAATTAAGGCAGATTACAAAACAAGAAATATATATTTTTCGAGTCTTAACAAAATCTACACAAAGACGAAAATGGAGAGAGCCCTAAAAAAATCGCAAGAAAATAAATCAGAGCCTCGTAAAATGGATAGATTGCCAAATTGCAGATTACACAGAACGCATGATAAGAAGATGACCCAGAACGATTAGAATCAAGAAAACGAAAAACGATAAATCATTCAGTACAAAAACTCGTAAAACTCTAGAAAATCTACAGACGGAAAAAATAATAATTTTCAAGAAAACCCATTAAAGATCTCATTGTTCAGGAAAATCAAATAAATAATAACATGGCTAGAAAATCATTTCGGAAACATAGACAAATCGAAATAAAATCCAATAATAAACCAAGAACTTAAATAAATTGAAATTAACAGAGTATAGCAAATGAAATCAATACTTGACGACATGAGGGTCTCTTGAGAGCATTCGCAGTAAGGAAACCTCGCGAAGAGTGGTGGGGGGCACGCCTTCTTCGTCTTCATGGAGACGAGTTTTCTTGAGGGCCACAATCTTCCCAGTGGCCTTTTCCTTGGCTCTGTACACTTTACCGTAAGTCCCCTCTCCCACTTTCTCCAATTTTTCAAATGCGTCCATTGCAGATTTGGGTTTCTCCATTTTTCCTCTCCCCTTTCTTTCCCTTTCTGTGTGAAAAATCGATCAAGATTACAAGAAAATATTGTTTCCAGTTGGGATGTGAGTATATATATATAGCCGTTGGGGGGTTCTGCACCCGTTTGGTAACGGCAACATTTTCGAAATTCAAAATGTGAAAATATCTTTTGAAATTCAAAATGCCAGTATACACTGAAAAGAGGAATGGAGCGCGCATAGGGCATATAGAGGAACTGAGCATGTGAAATTCCAGAATTAGCCTCCCCAAGTGCCCAATAAATAATTTTCACTTTTCGAAATAATGCAAGCTTAAAAGTAACTTCTACTTCTTTTTATTTTCAATGAAACCTAGAACATCATGAGATTAATACTTTAATAATAATGTTATTTAGCACAAATGGTATTACAACATCAATTTATGTGACGTGATGTGATAAGTTCAATAAAATGTGTAATTAAGTGAGTCATTTAATTATACAACTCGTTTAATGTCATATTAGTGCTACATAAATTGATATTTTAATACCGGTAGCGCTAAATAATATTTCTCATATTTTAAAAATTAAAAAGCAAAAGTCGTTAAGAGTTCAAAACAATCGTATCGAATTGCATAATGCAAACTTTAATGAGCATTTTTTACTTGGACCGTGCTATATGTCTATAAAGTTTGACATATTGGTTTACACTCATGTGAGTTGACAGATCTTGATACATTGATCTTAACAACACCTTTTTCGATCATCTGTCAAATTTGATGTCAATTAAGGTGACTTTGCGTGTACAAGTAGTTTAATCCTCTTGACTTACCAATTTGAGACGAGTTTCACAATATGGACCTTTGTAAGTTGAAATAATTGGGGATGTTCGAGTTCCCTCAGGGAGTGTTAGAGCTACATTATTTTTTAAGAATGTATTTTGGAATAGTAAATTGATGAAGAATGTGTTGTTAAAAAAACAAGGAAATTTTTTTCATTTGCGCATAAAATTATTTTAATGAAAAATATGTGGTTAAAAATAAGAGGGAGAAAAATATATTTTAGAAAAAATGAGAATCATACATCCTCTTATTCAATTAAAGCATTAGATCGTGAGCGATAGAAGGTTCCAAATGGTATTCAATTAAAGGGTAATGAAACAATTCAGCTTCTGTTTGGCTTTCATTTAAATTATAATTTGTTTTTTTTATCTCTTCTTATTAACCATACATTCTCAAATCCAAAACTTTTTTTTTTCTTTTTTAACCACACATTATTCAAAAAAAATACTATTCCAAAAATTAAAATAGCAAACAATGAGGACCAAACAGTGGCTAAAGATCATGAAGATTGAATTCAGCCGAACTTAACTAATTGGTATCTTAGTTGGCTTTGTTTACTCAACAATTCAATTTGATCAAGATAACTAGAAGCCAAATGGTTGTTTACTTTTAAATATATTTTGCATTAGGCAACTCAACCCTAAATCTTGCGTGTCATACCTATAAGTTTTTAGTATTTTGACAAAATTAATTGCTTAAATTGAATTTTATATATGAGTTGATTGAAATAAATATTATTATGAAATGGACATGAAATGCATGATGCTGGGAGCAAAGGCAATTCCAAGTTTAAGCTATGATGGATAAGAAATATCATTTTCTTACAGGATTCACCGTGTCATAGGATTAGTTTCTCTTGAGGAAACAAAAATTAACACTAAAATCATCGAAGTTATGAGTTTTGGCTTCTTTCATCTCTTATTCGTCAAATACCCGTTCATTAACGGAATAATGACTTGACAATACACATCCAAATAACTAGAATGATGTAACAAGTTCTTTAGCACCATTCAATTTGTTCACTACATGTTCACAATCCTGCTCTTGACAAGATCTGGAAAATTGCGGTCTCTTCAAATGCATAGTATTACTACCTTAACACGACATCAACACTCAAAAGACAGGCTGATGGACACATACTACCAATTTCAAAATCTTACGCCAAATAATTATACAACAATCCCAAAGCTGATAGGTTAGATCTCTGAAATATCAAAGCTTTTCATTGGGTATTCTCAATGTTTAACCTCAAAGAGGAGAGGAGACCTTACACTTTATAGCTTGCAATCAGAGAAATTGTAGGTGAGAATGTTCCAAATGAGACTAAGCATTTACAAGTAGTTCTGCAGTTGATCATGCAAGTTGGAATCCTTGTATCCAGTATCCTGCAATTACGACACTATCAACAGAGAAGTATTTATCTGTGAATATGACAAAAGAAATTCCTGTCTCATGATTTATAGGAATCCATATATTGAAGGCCTTGTATGGGAGGGATTAAAATCGGATTAAAATTGAAAATATAGCCGTTATTGTTGACTTTTATTAGACGGATGGGGCCCAATAACGGTCATATTTTCAATTTTAATTGGATTTTAATCACTCCCGAACGGGGCATGAATATAGAAAGTAGAGCTAAGGAGTGAGACGGGTTTCTTGGTGTATGTTTGATGGAAGTTTTTTGTAGATTATAAAAAATGGGTCCTACAGAATGTGTGGATAAAAATAATGTTTGACCATCTTATAAGCTTGAAAAAGCACTCCACAACCCAGTCCTCTATTCCTCATTTCTATGTAGAATAGTGAAGGGGGGTAAAAAAAAAAAAAAATTCTATTCACCACAACAAACCACTACCATGCCAGTTGGTGGACGTTTTCAGTCAGAAACTTTTGGTAGGTAAAGTATTTTTCTTTCATTTGAGGACTAAATTAAGGCCTTCACGTATTGAGTGACAATTGAATAACATTAAAATACCCTTCTAGTGTTACCAGTTTGATGATCCAGAGAAGATTGGCAAATGAAAGTATGTGTTAACTTTAAAATTGATGGCTTTAAGTTTTCATCTCAAATTGATAGCTCTGCTTTTTCATCTTTTTTTTTTTATGATAACCGTGGATGTTCGGGCCAACTTGCTAGCACCTCGACTAATTCCACGGGACCCTGAAATTTACAGTCGGATACTCACCTCAGTAGCCCTGTATCACTTTTTAGCTCTTACTGTGTATCACTTAACCCTTGTTTCAGACCCATTTTTTTAGAATAGTTTTTGTAAAAAGTGACTTTTTTTTGAAGAATGTATGTTAAAAGTAGAAAAAAATTTAGGTTTACATGCAAAATTATTTTGTATCCTGCAATTACGACACTATCAACAGAGAAGTATTTATCTGTGAATATGACAAAAGAAATTCCTGTCTCATGATTTATAGGAATCCATATATTGAATATAGAAAGTAGAGCTAAGGAGTGAGCCGGGCTTCTTGGTGTATGTTTGATGAAGTTTTTTGTAGATTATAAAAAATGGGTCCTACAGTATGTGTGGATAAAAATAATGTTTGACCATCTTATAAGCTTGAAAAAGCACTCCACAACCCAACTCATTTCTATGTAGAATAGTGAAGGGGGGTAAAAAAAAAAAAATCTATTCACCACAACAAACCACTACCATGCCAGTTGGTGGATGTTTTCAGTCAGAAACTTTTGGTAGGTAAAGTATTTTTCTTTCATTTGAGGACTAAATTAAGGCCCTTACGTATTGAGTGACAATTGAATAACATTAAAATACCCTTCTAGTGTTACCAGTTTGATGATCTAGAGAAGATTGGCAAATGAAAGTATGTGTTAACTTTAAAATTGATGGCTTCAAGTTTTCATCTCAAATTGATAGCTTTGCTTTTTCATCTTTTTTTTTTATGATAACCGTGGATGTCCGGGCCAACTTGTTAGCACCTCGACTAATTCCACGGGGCCCTGAAATTTACGGCCGGATACTCACCTCAGTGGCCCTGAGGGGACTCGAACTGGTGATCATTGGGGAACAAACTCAAAACCTGACCAATTGAGCAACCCCTCAGGGTTAGCTCTACTTTTTCATCTACAGTTGCAATATTGCCTTGTGTTTAGCTCTTACTGTGTATCACTTAACCCTTGTTTCAGACCCATTTTTTTAGAATAGTTTTTGTAAAAAGTGACTTTTTTTTTAAGAATGTATGTTAAAAGTAGAAAAAATTTTAGGTTTACATGCAAAATTTGTTTAAGACCCATTTTTTTAGAATAGTTTTTGTAAAAAGTGACTTTTTTTTTAAGAATGTATGTTAAAAGTAGAAGAAATTTTAGGTTTACATGCAAAATTATTTTATTGGGAGAATGTGTGGTTAAAATGAGTTTGGGGATTTATGAGTTTTGAAAAATTATCTTCACAAGGAGAAATTTCACTTGATTGAACAAAGAAGAATAGCCAAACTAACAAAGTATACAGACAGAAGCTTAACATATAATATTCCAGTTCATTATATTTTTTGAGTCATTTTGAAATTTGAAAATAAAAACAACTGATAAGAGGATTAATGCAGCTTAAGTCAGCAAAAATGAACGGTAATCCAGTGAGGAGCTATACAATAACGGCATATACGACAACTTACCACTTGTTTATGTAGTATTCTCATTCCACAAGAAGAGTGAAAAGTCTCTCTTCTCTTCCTCGATCTGGACAGTAAAGAGAAGCAAAAAGTTATTACAAACAAAACTATTTCAAATTTCTGTTTCACATTGCCATAAAAATAACAAATCTATGCTTGGATACCTAAGCTGGATCATCTAATTCTGGATGAAAAAGGCATGTTTTACAGAGTGCATGTATTCTGATTCCACAAGTGGAGCAAGTTTCTCTGTCTCAACCCGGAGAAAACAAGCAAAGCAAACGATGATTATAAAATACCAAACGAGAATATTCCCACTTTACATTTAAATAATCGAATTCATATATCTAGGAATTGGGATACTTGGTATGTAATATTATTTAATGACATTAAAGTTGAGGATAAGAAGGTGGCCATTTATGCACATACTGACTTTCGTGTGAGCCAGGTTAAAGAGCTTTTCTAAGGCATTGGGAGTCAAACTAATGGATTGAGTGAAAGACAGAAGCTGCAATGATCAAGTGAAGCTTCAGGTTTTGAAACAAGTGCAGTAGAAAAACACAGTTTTCCTCCACTAGCTGTCCTTTTCCAGGGCCAGGAGTGCTTTTATTGTTCTTATTTTGCGGAGAACCAAGAAAGCAAAGCAAATTACCTTTAATGACTTTTCACAACAGTGGTTATCTAGATGATGCTTCCTATGAGCCACTACAGACTTCCAGATAGGATGACACAAAATCAATTATCTGATTGAACCACGAGAATCTAGGAAGAAGGTACACTTATAACGTCTCCATTCACCAGTAATTAAGACAGGAGCATTCACCATCCCTGAAATGGTGGAACCTCTTTCCATCCCTGACAATAATCTCTCTAGCCTCTGCTTTAGACATGAACTTGAATGCATTGTGGCAATCCCCACAGATTCGAAGGTTCTTGAAGACTCTAATTGTAGCTCCATGGGGAAGTTTTAGGAGTCCAAAAACTACTGCAAGCTTCTCACTATGAGTGGACAAAGCATATTCTTTTTGCTCAGATTCCATATCATGCAACACATACTTTGTGTCTGGAACATATCCCAATTGCCTGAGCTTTGGTACTAATTCTTTCAGATAATTGTAAACTGCTTGCACCTCAGGATGCACAGTGTCATCAACTAAAAATACATGGACATTGTTTTCAACATCGATCCAACTACAAGCTGGCTCTTTCTTAACCCCTCGATCCCTCATAAATTTCCGTACTCTGGCAACATCATTCCACCGGCCAGCAGTGGCAAACATATTGGCCAAAAGGATATATGTTCCATCATGTTGTGGAATGAGCTCAAAGAGCTGTTCTGCAGCATGGACCCCCAAATCAATGTTTCCATGAAGCCGACAACCAGAAAGCAGAGCTTCCCAAACAGGTGCTCCAGGCTCAAATGGCATAGTCTGTATCACATTTTTTGCTTCTGATAATTTTCCAGCTCGACACAGTAAATCAATTAATCTGGCATAATGATCTTCTCCTGGCTGTATTCCATACTTACCATGCATCGAGTCAAAGTAGTGCCATCCTTGTTCAACTAGACCCGCGTGACTACAAGCAGAGAGAACAGTAAGGAATGTTATCCGATCTGGCAAAATCTCTTCTTTTAACATATCTTCATAAAGTTTTAGTGCTTCGAAACCATGTCCATGCTGCCCAAGGGCGGCTATCATTGCATTCCAAGACACAGAATCCAAACAAGGCATGGTAAGAAACACACAGTGTGCTGCCTCAATGACACCACATCGTGCATACATTGTTATTAAAGAATTTCCAGCAGAGAGGCTTGAATCATAACCCAGCCGGACAAGCTGAGCATGGAGCTGGCGCCCTTGCTCCAGTGCTGCAAGTACAGCACAAGAAGTAATGGCTCCAGCGAATGCATAGTCACAAGGTTCAAGCCCACTTGTTTTCATTTGATTGAAAAGCTTCAATGCTTCTTCTGCAATCCCATATTGTGCAAAACCCGATATCATAACAGTCCATGACAACAGACTCTTATTTGGCATCTCATTGAAAAAGGATTTGGCTTCAGTTATCCTTCCTGCACTCACGAATGCTGATAAAATTGCATTCCATGAAACAAGGTCCTTGCCCAAAATGTTATCAAAAATTGTCTTTGCTTGGTCAATCTTACCACATTTCCAATACAATGTAATCAATGCATTATTCACAGACACCGGAAATTCCCTTATAGAGTTTGACTCTGTGCGGATAATATAAGCATGAACCTGCTTACCATGAAGAAAGAATCCGGCATCAGCGCAGGCACTGAGCACATTTGTATAGGTAAATTCGTCATGTTTAATCCCCAAAGAATGCATCTTCCTAAACATTTCAAACACTTGAGACACAAAGCCCTTGTGCGAATACCCAGAAATCATTGCATTCCACGCAACCACAAGTTTCTCCTCCATCCCATCAAGAACTTGCTGAGCTGCCTCAAGATCATCATTCTTCACATACCCTGTGATGATTGTTGTCCATGACAACTCGTCTTTCACAGGCATCTCATTAAATAACTTTCTTGCTGAACTCATCAGCAAAGAAGAAGACGCCAATGGTGAGGAAGCACACTTTACATAAACCGATATGAGAGCATTCACCACTGAAGTAAGCCACAAGGTTCCTGACTTAGCAACAGCAGAATGAAATTGCTGGCAGTGCTTTTCATGATCAGCTATAAGTGCCAAAGCACCAAGTACGCTCGTGTAAGTAAAATTATCGGGCTCAAAACCCTTTCGCCTCATTTCATTAAATATCTGAATAGCAGCGTGCCCGTCATTGTTATGCGAATAGCCAGTTATCATGGCATTGAAACAGACAGTATCACGAATTCTTAATGGCGTTTTATCAAATATATCACGTGCAAACTTGGGGTCTCCAGAAGCAGAGTAAGCTGAAATCAAAGTGGTTCTCGCAACAACATCTGGTTGGGGAATTTTATCGAACAGCCGTTTCGCGTGGATGAAGTTGAAAGATTTGCAGTAGAAATAAATTAGACGGTTGAGGATGTGGCCTCGTGGCTTGAATCCAAAAGTGATCATGTGGGCATGAATGGCCGGGGCGAGAGAGTAGGTGGTAGAGCCATGCTGGAAGCAAAGTTGAAGCTGCGCTGCATATAAGTTGGCCACAGCGTGGTAGTCTGGTGATTGGCTGAGGTTCTGAGAAGGGTGTAAATATCTGGCAGCGGCGGTGGCAGCATTTTTCATGTCGGCAATGATGAGAAAAAATTATAGCATTCTGGACACTGGAATGTCCAGTTTGCCGGGAAGCTCAAAGCTGGGAGCAAATTGCTCTGAAAGATGGTTGTCCCTGAACTTGTAGATCCTTTCTTTTTTTTTCTCCTTGGCCTTGTACTTGGGGTCCTCTTGATTTGATTCCTCCTCGAAAATTTGGTTGGAAAGAAAAAAAAGTTTTACGACAATAATTGTTTAGAACTTATTTTTTTTAGGAAATGTCATATAATTGCGTTTGATTGGTATAATTTTTCATCCAAAAAATATTGAAATTTTCCATCTTTTGGTGTTTGATTGACGTTGTTTTCCATGGAAAATTATGATTTTTTCCATCTTTAACTGTTTGACAGACTTTGTTTTCCATGAAACTTTTTTTTTCCCAACTATTGGTGTTTGATTGCCATTTTCCAAAAAACCATGAACAAAAGATAATACAAAACAATGGTTTAAAATTGAATAGTCTGAAGAAAAATAATGTTTCACCCGAGTAAAATTCGTCAGCGTGGAATAAACTACAAAAATATATCATTGTGCGCGATTCAGAATATTTATCTTTCGAGCAAAATGATATATGCAATTAAAACAATCAAATTGTCACTTGATTGAGTAGAGATTCTTGTGGAATTTTACCATTGAGTTGCTGCTAGAAATAATAACATTCTCGAGTTTGTTCCACGTCTATGCTGCCTCTACAAACTTACCAGCTGCAAGTTCTTGTTTAATTTGCTGAGACGGACTATTTTTTGAAATCAATTTGTTAGCTATCAAAAAAATTTCTCAACCCTGCCACTACATAAATAGGATTGTTTTGGAGGCTCATATGTATTAAAAAATTCTATCAACAATGTAGTGAAATCATTTGCAGCTTCAACATCAGTTTTAACAAGCAGATTTTTATCATCCTGCTCCACAAAACTATATCCAGTTCCAACAGGATTATCCTAGTCAAAATATTTTTAAAAATGCAAAAATAAATTGTTGGGCCTCATTAATTAACGAGATAATTCTAAATTCATCAATCCAAAGCATGCACAATACACATACATTAGCTGGGCTTCAAAATCCATCAACAAAAGCTAACCCTTTTTTGAAAATACCTCCAACTCTTGGGAGATTATACCAAAAACTATCAATCCAATATTTACATAACACTGCACCCTAGTTTGTACGTATGTGCATTACAAAAAAAATTCAAAAGACCACGAATGTAGATTAAGTTCTACAAATACATACAACTTTATACATACACCGTCAAATTCGTGCGATCTACGGTAGTGGAGGTGGATCACGACCAAGTTTGTCAAAAACCAAAGCACGCATGTATTTCTTGCTCGTCAGGTTCATAAATACCTTAGCCAAACCACCGTAGGATTGAAAGGCTTTCGTGACTTCCATTACGTCCTTCATGTCTATGTGCATTACCTCCAGCTTCTCTAAAATCAATTGCAAGTTCTGTGTATCTAGCATAGCTTGCATTTCCATAGATTGAGAAATTTTTATAGATGACTTGGCAATTCTCAACAGGGCGATACTACTCTCATCCACCGATTGTTTACGTCGACGCTTGGCTTTTTACGTCCCCTCTTCGGCTGTACTCTTACGAGCATTAACTGAGCTATGATCCATCTCCACATTTTCCATATCCATCTCATTTACACTTTGAGAAATATAGCCACTTGTTCCTCTACTTTGACTGGTCTACTGTCCACCGAACTATATGTTCGTAAACAGGCACATAATATTTGAAACAGGGCTATCTTCATCCTAAGTAGATCATGACAAATTCTATCACTAGTACCGACGCCTGATTGAATTATATATTACAATTGCTTGTGTGACCATCATCCAAAATAGACCCAATTGTTGTCGTTGGCGACGATGTTGGTTTGTTAAGGTATCTATGACACTTACAACAACGTTTAAAAATTGTCAACGTGATGTAAATACTTGTTTATCGAGAAATGAGAAACCCCAAAAGCCTACAACATTGGATTAAATCATGCAAAAAAGCACAAGCACGAGATCATTTTACACAATGCTTAATTGCAGTGGCATAGTGATTGCACAAAACAATTTTGGCATATTTGGTAGGATAGATTAAATAATAAATAGCACTTGACAATATAAAACAAGAAAAACAGTTCAAACACGTTCATCATATTAAACATGCACTTGAGTGGTAGTAACTCCATTAGTCCTCATTACTAAACTAACGACACAAATCCTACACAGAAGTTAATTATCTAACTGAGCCCTAATTGAAATTTCACTAACCAAAATAAATTAATCCAATAGGGCTACTAGAAAGCTGACAAGAGTAATGGAGTAGCTGGTTTTGAAAAGTAACCATCATACCTTTTCTTGCATGCTAATAGATGTAACGAACTCCTTTGACTGAATTGGTAAACAAAAGCTTGAAGTCATAAGCCAACTGGAATCACAAACACGTTTTCTATGTTGAAAAGGTTTGTTTATATATACATATGATCATCCATCTTTACCTCAAAGTCATTTTCCAGAACAGAGAATCCTTTTACAAGCTTTGACATCTAATTTTTTCTTTATATTCCATAATTCTCTCAATTAAATCCGTTCATAAAAAATGTTTCTCTCAATTAAATATGTTTTGTATGGTCATACATAAATTTGGGAGTTCAGATGCAGAATCAAGAAATAAATAAATTTAGCTCAACAAATTTCAATTCCTTGCTCGTCTTGTCAGGCGAGGAAGCTCATCGACAAAATCACCAAAAAATACATAAATTTCCCAAATCAAGTGTAATCTTCAGCAAAAAATAGGTGTCGTTCTCTTTGTGTTTTGAGTTTTGAATTCATTTTGTGTTTTGTGTTTTGAGTGTCTATTTTGAAATTTCTGAAAATGCGTTCTTTTTACCATTCTGAAAAACTGTTTTGAAAACATAAAAATGGAAAACCCATTTACTTTGAGATTTTGAGAATTTTTTTTTAATAATATTTTATTCAAGAAATCTGATTAATCAATAAGTTTTAATAGTTTAATATTAATATAGCATTAAATAACATATAAATTTTGAAATTGGTGAATCTTGAAATAATTTTTTCCAAATATAAAAAACATAACCTATATTAAATTTTACAAATCCTTATTTTTGTTCTTGTACGTAACTTGTGACAATAATTAAGTAGCATCAATCACAATCAAACATAATCAAGTTGCCAAAAATGGGATCACTAATCTCATATTGACATGTTAATAAATATTTTGAAATCAATTTTATTGAGTTCATGTTATTATAAACAATTATTAGTATAAGCAAGTCGCTTCAGCCTGACATGAGTTATCAATTATTATAACCAACAAGTCCCTTTTCCTTGCCAGAAAATTGTCACTGAGGGAGGGTAAA